CGGGATGCGAAATGGCCTCAATAAACGAGAGAGAAGGAAGAGATTTAAGTGTAATAAGCCTTGGGGTCGAAATGGCTATTTATAGGATGATTTTTGGCCTCTCACGTCGTGATCCATACATGCTCACGTCGTGAGCCATGCCTGCTCACCTCGTAGACCCACCATTTGGTCCCTAGCTTCGGATGGTGTCCCTTTGAATCCTCACGACGTGAGAAAATCCTAGCTCAAGTCGTGAGCTTTTGAATTATCACTTCGTAGACTTTCCATGCGTCTTCTAGCTCCGAAATGTGGCGGTTTGACTCCTCACATCATGAACATCTATGCTCACGTCGTGAGCTCAGTCAGATTAGGGTTTGTGGCACGTGTCACGCTTTCAGACAGCTGTATCTTCAGAAGGTCGTAACTTTTGCATACGAACTCTGTTTTTGACGTTCTTTATATCCACGCGTAGGTATTTACGAGTACTACAACTCTCTTTTAGACTCCAATAGATAATTCTAAGTCTATTTTAAATTCCTCTTATTATAGGGATTTATAGTGTAAGGGTTTATCATAACTTCTTCACGCGAAGTCAGATTTAGACTTTCTCTATATTTTTGGAATTGTATGGACGTATACGTTGAGTTGTATCATAAAGTATGTATAAAAGTTCATACCTGTATTAGAATTTATCATGAACTACATAGTAAGTTTATCACATTACTAGTTTAACAAAATCACATTACATGATTGGCATAATCACATGTGATTGTTATTGTCCTATTTTGACTGGTGTTACAGAATACAAGTGTAACACAAGAAATTTGTATTAATATCTAAATGTTTTTCAATATTTATTAATTGTTGCCGTTATTACAATTATATATATATATATATATATATATATATATATAATTAGGGTTCAACAGACTTATAATTGATAATTTGACTCCATTTCTTGTTCCTTGTTTGGTTGTGGGCTTGGGGTAGAATTATTTATTCGACTGTCTATTTAATCACAATTATATAAATGTTATGTTTATATAAGTATAAAATCATTTTAAACTTGTTAAACAAATATATAATTTTTGCAAACTATTTAATACCATTTGGGGATAAATATTGAATTTCACGGAACAATCGCATCACATATTTTACAATTTAAACTTTCTGAATTATTAACAATACAAAGGTTTCTATTTCAGTAAAACACAAACATATAAACTATAATAGGTATAGTTGATGAAACTTACATGTTGCTTTCCAAAGTTCAGATTACAATACGGAAAACAAACATATAAACTATAATAGGTATAGTTTATGGATCATATATACTTCTCTACATATTCAGAATAACTTATGGAAAACAAACATATAAACTATATTAATTATAGTTTATGAGATATACTTACAGTTTATTTATTTCAAAGTAACTTTTCATTATTCTACATGTAACCGTCAATATAGAATTTGTGAGACTTACTTCAAGTACTTATCCAAGTACCAACCAAGTCCTGAAATTATAACCATAGTCTCCTGGAGGGAGAACGTTACACTTGTGTATAGATCTATACGGGACTGACAATCCCGCACCTGAGCTGCTTGCAACAGCTAGGCCGACAGACCTGTGGTGACAAATGTCGTACCGATTGCGACGCCTGAAAAACGTCGTGTTCAGGCGATCTTAGGTCATCAACCATGGTTATAATAACTCACAATTTGGTATTGAAAAATACGATTAGTGTATGAATAAGTAAACATCTTCACATAGTTTTATTAAATAATAAAACTATAATACAATATATTACAAGTACAAATACAGAATACTAAGTTAGTATAGAGAAAACATACTTTTCATGGTTTCATATGGATTAAAACTATAACAAACTATATCAGAGTATGATAACATTTACACGTTTTGAGTACAACATATTACAACATAAAATATAGGATTTTCTGGGAAAAACATGTTTACATTTTTAAAGAACAACGACAGATTTCAAATATAAACATGCTTATGAACTCACCAACTTAATTGTTGACACTCTTTTCGAAACTACTTGTATTCTCAGGAAATCAGTAAACAGGTAACCCCAGGTTTTGAGAAGACGGAGCTTCAGAGACTCATGCCTTTTAATTTTTGCTATTCATTTTGGTATCAATATACAATGATTTGAACAAATATGTAATAACTTATACATTATCAATACATGGTTGTTGTACTTTGATTACTATTATGCAATTGTTGTGATACTATACACGACGTCCTCCGCCCCCGAATGTTTCCGCCGTTCTGGTTTGGGGGTGTGACAGATTGGTATCAGAGCATTGTTTATAGTGAACTAAGTATATCAAACCATAAAAGATATACAACTACAAATACAATAGGGCTGAAACGCTTTGACTAAATGTATACTTTTTAAATCTAAGTATTTTATAAGAAGTATACTAACATGCATACATACCAGAAACAGTATCACAGTGAGAACTACATAAAAGTATTTAGATGTTGAACACTGCAGTTAAACTTGGACAGTTATGTAATCATATCTGGGATAAATATAGCCTGATCAACTATATTTATTTGAGATATGACCAACATGTGTTTGGGAGTGATCGTGATGTTGCAACAAGTCTAAAACTTACCAACTTTTATTACAAAGGAACGTTAGAACCAAACATAAATTTAAATACTATAGGAGTATTTATAGTACGATAACACACCATTTCTAGACTTATTTAAATTCTCTTACACCCTTATTCTCGCATAGATAATATGGTTGGTTTCTATCTGTCGGGAGACCCGTATTTTCCCATTCAAGGGAACGGAGGATGGCTCGAAGAGGAACTGGAAGACTCTGACTCAGAATTAGAGGTTTACGATCCACCTCAAGTTGCCCAACATCCCAATCCCCGACAGAATTTCCAAGGCCCGACGCCTTAGTTGGCAGTAAACTTGGAGAGGTGGAGTCATGAACAGGGTCAACACCTTCCCTATGATGGGGATCGAAGCTTCTATAACCTTGATGGGGGAGGCTTAGCAGATAGAGCCCTCCCTATATTAGTCTGTCGTGTTGCTTGCCATGATGAGCAAATGAGAACGACCATCAACCGAGTCATGGAGGTTGGTGCTACCATCGAAGTCAACACAATTCGTATTCACTACCTAAAAGAAGACCATGATCAGATCAAGAACCACACCGAAACTCTTCAAGAAGAGATGACTGCTGCCCGAACCGAAAGAAGAACACTTCGGGAGCATCATGCTACATTAGAGAGGCTTTTGATGGAAGCAGAGCGCTATGTGGAAGAGTCCAGTACTCAGGGAAGTGCCCACCAGGAGTAGTGTTTACACTACTCACATTTTTTATATAAACTAGGACTACGAATATGCGTTAGATACTACCTTGTCTACATATGAACTCAACCCTGTGTCTAGGTGTTTATACTATTTAGGGAATCATAATGCTGTCAAGATTTTCCTTTAAACTTTGATGTATTATAGACCTGTACCAAGGTGAAATTTTCCAAAACGCTATGTATCAAATATATCAAAGAAATTGACAAGCATTTTAGTTAACACTAATTTCATGACTTCGTGATTTCAATCTACTTACTTATGGTAATCTATGATTACTTATTGTAATTTTAGAGACCTGGTATGGAACACACTATACAAATTTATTACAAGTATGATCATGCTGTCTTCCAAGCAGCAGTAACCGCCACCGTGGCTGTTGCCATGACGCAAATTAACACTAGTGGTACTAGTGGAGGCGGCAGTGATGCTCATAACTCTAATAACGGGGAAAGTCTTGGACACCCAAAGGAGTGTTCTTATATAGATTTCTCAAATGATAAATCCAAATATTTCGATGGCACTGGAGGTGTCATTGCTCTGACACGCTGGTTCGAGAAAACCGAATCAGTGTTTGAAATCTGTGCTTGCCCTGAAGCAAGCAAAGTAAAGTTTGCAGCATGCACCTTCTTAGACAGAGCCCTCTCTTGGTGGAACAGCTATGTCAAGTCGTTATCTCTCCCAGTCGCCAATGCACTACTAGAAAACAGCCTTTAATGACGCGCAAACAATGACACGCGCTGATAGAGGACGCGCATTTGTGCGTGCCCTAAAAAATAATGTCAGTTCTGCAAAATTTGAATGATAGAGGGCACGCATTTTTGTGCGCCCTAAAATTAGTGTCCAACAAAAAAAATTAAAAACACGGAGGTCACGTATCCTAAAAAGCGTGTCGTGTTACCCTGTCGCTTTATAATTTTAGTCTATGAGCGCGCGTTTTCATTTTTTGGGGGGAATGAAATCCAAAAAATTATAAACCCCGCTTGCGTCTCCTCTTTCCACGGGAACACTCACCTCATCAGACTCACCACCATCTCTCTCTCTCTCTCTACGGTTCCCCTCCATACCACCACCATGGTCATCACAGCTATATCTCACCACCTGCAACCTCAACACAATCAACCATCACCACCATTCCTACCATCTATCGCCGCCCTACCATCTTCTCCATCACCACCTCTTTCTTGTTCTATGTGAAACCCTAAAATCGGTAGCAACAACTAATAGGGTTTGGAGAAAAAGTTGATCTAAGAAAAATCAAAGCAAACGACTTAGAAGATGCTACCATATACTCGTACAAAGCTGCTCAGGTAGGTTATTTCCTAAATTTTGTCTTTAATTCTAAAGATATTTCCTTCGATTCTAACCCTAGTTCGTTCTCCCCCCCCCCCTTTGGATTCAGATTTTTTGTGTGATTGGAGATGTTTCATTTTATATTGGATTCAGTCATCGATATAATCAAATCTATTCATATTCTGAACCACCATCCTCACAGAAAACACAAACCTCTTATAATTTCCAGATTTAACCACTTCAATTTCTGCTGCATATTTCTTGCATCCTGTATATGATTTTTAAGAAAATGTAAAAACCTGATTACGCCCACTTTTTTGTTTAAATTGATTTATGTTCTTTGCTTCTGTAGTAGAAGGCTAGAAGCGATATGACTTATAGCTTTGGTGAAGAGGGCCCTGCCATTGTGCAATTGCAAAAATGGGAATCTTCTCGATTGCAAGCAAACCTGACACAGTTTCATGAAGCTTTCCTTTCCCCAACCAGGGAACTTATATTATTGCTTTCATATCACCATGAAGGTTACTTCTTCCTCTAGTCAAAGGTGAACATCCAATCTAACAATCTTAAATGCTTATGCTATGATAGAACCTGGTTTATGTTGATTTTAAAATGTGTGTTATTTATATGAATCTTCTGTACAGCTGAAGCTGTAAGTTGTATTGTAAGCTATCCCATGCTTTCTGATATAAATTCACTTGCTTGGGGTATATGTGAAGATTCAAATAGTCAACATGAGGGGGCTTTATTTAGAGAATTTCTCTTTGTGGTTGGAGATCATGGGTTGACTGCCCATGCATTTTGTCAATCCACTGAGTGCAGCAGTGAATCCCTTGAACCTATGCCAGATGTAGATAGTGAAGAATGGGTTGAATGGGTCCCATCTAATGATGCAAAGCATATAAATAAACCGGAAAATGATGGTGAATAAAGGAGATGGTTGAGAACTTTCCTTACTAAAGCCAAAACAATCAAATACGAAGGCTATGATTATGAATGATGGTGGTCAGGAATAGGAAGTTACTGTAGGAGATGCAGTTGGATGTGTGTTTCATGGATGTTTTTATTTGGTCACATCAGAGGGTATTTGTGTAATTCTACCCTATATTTCATTGGAATTAGCTTCTGGTTGTATTCCTGTTGAAGCTATTGGATACCGACAGAATAGTATCTGCTCTATGGATCAAAGTGTAAACCTAATTGAAATAAAAGGAATTAAGCAGCCATGGCCAACTTGGAAAATTGAGGTTTTAGATAGAGTTCTTTTATATGAAGGATATGAAGAAGCAGATCATTTATGTTTGGAAAATAGTAATTTGTTTTTAATTCTAAGTGGAATTAAGATAAACATATGATTAAAAATTTGTTTTTTCTTGTTAATTTTTAATCTTGTAGGGTGGGACCTGAAGGTTTCCCGGATTCGTCGGTTGCAACTGGCACTGAATTACTTGAACTTTCAGGAGATTGAGATGTAAGATTTATTATTTATAAACTTCAGTTTGATTGATACATAACTAAATATGACATTATCTCATTTTTTTATTATTTTTTTTATGGATAATTAGTTCATTAGAAATGCTTGCTGGTGTGAGTTTGGCAGAAGAAGGCGTCCTGAGATTTGCTCATCATCTAGGATTCTCAGGTTCCCATTGTTGTCAATTGTTAGGGTGGAATTAGTGTTAGAAACGGAGAGTGGATTTTGTCTGCTTGCAATCTATATAAATTTTTTTGGAGGGACGTTTTTGAACCATATACCAAGATATAGGTTACTGGCCAGAACTACCTGGACTGAAGAACCCTAGCTCAAAGATTTGATTGGAAGAGACAAGAATCTGCTCTAATGATCTTGGACTATTTTTAGTCAATATATAAGTTGACTTGTAGTGTTGTAGTGAAATAATCAAGATATACATGCATGTCTGCAACTTTTAATCATAAATCATCATTTTTTTCTCTTCAATTCTTTCTGTTTTCATGTTTTAGTTGTAAACTTCTAAACTTCAAGTTTAATAATATTTTTAGTGATCTTAAGTTTGCAACATATATATCTAAGAAGAAATATACAGGAGCCCCTTTCTATCGAAATGGTTGGTAACAATTAAATAATAATACCCAAGTTATTTTTTTATTAATCTATTGGATGATTTAATAATTCTCCAAGTTATTGATATGATACAGGTGTTCCTTCACTTTTGGCTTTTCCACCTGGCTGTAAATCCTCAGATTGCATTATGAGGTGAGTTTACTTTATGCGGATAATAATAATAAGTTAATAACCATATTATTGTTATTAAAAAATAAAAATAAATAATTAATCTTCCAAGTAATTGTTTAGATTATACTTTTGCAATTTGCTAGGTACACCGGAGAGTTGTCTGTTGATGCTGTTACTGATTGGTTTGCAACAATCATTCTAAGTTTACCTCGTATTTCTTACTACTCTAGGGACGCTTTGGTAATTTCCATAAACTCTCTCCTCAACAACGGTTTAAATTAGTGATTAATTTAAATTATATATAGTAATAATTCCAGATTTAGTGTGGAAGAAGCTCCTGCCATTGTTATTCTAAGAGACCCCGGCGTCAAACATGTAGTCTACCATGGCTCAATCAACAATTCAAGACTTATTGATGTCATGGAACAAAATAAACATCAAGGTGCATAAATCATTAATGTCATTTTTCAGACCTAATATTATATATAATTATTTATTTTTTCAGTAGTGCTTCCCCAATTAAGAAGTGTTACATCTATGGAGCTTGGTTGTGATCGAAAAGGCTACTCACGTGCTGGAAATAACACCACAGTTTGGTATTGTGTTGTTCTTATTGGAAGACAAAGCACAGAACTCCATAAAATGCGTGAAGTAAGATTCTTATCTTAATTCATAAACAATAGTCTTTTTATTTCTTTTCTTTAAAGATAAATATTATATATATATATATATATATATATATATATATATATATATATATATATTATATTGTTAAAGACCATGTGTAGGGTCCAATAGATACTATCAGATAGTGAAAATGTAAATCAAGTTGACCAACACCAAGCTGCCATGTCAGCATTGAAGGAAAAAAGACTCACATTTGCCTGGGTGGATGGTGAAGCACAAAAGGTATACATATGTTGTAGACTGAAACAAACAAACAGAACACAAATACTAATATTTATTCATATTCACATTCATCTCTTTCTGGAAGTTAATTATTTTAAATAAAAAAATACCTTAAAAACCATAACATCCTGGTAATCAGATTTCTATGATAATATGGCCAGCTTGCAACATGTTTTTCTTTTATTCTCTACTCGCGCCTATTATGCAGGATTGTAAATGTGACTATGTTGTCTGCAGTGATAGCTCTTTGTCGAAACAATCATGAGGTTCCCATCCGTAAACCAGTTGAAGAAAATTGGGAAAGGATTCGTGTTCTGCAAAAGGTACTTGATGTTTATTTATAGGCTTATATATCATGATTTCAAACTTGCAGTCTTGAAAAAACTTAAGGTTTGATGTTTATTTATAGGCTTATATGTCATTGGAGGAGGGGTATATGCCACCTGTAACATCCATTGTTGTACTAAAGAGGCATCATACACGTTTCTTTCCTATGAAGCATGGAGGTAAAGCTAGCACCGACAGGAGTGGCAACATTCTTCCATGTTTTAACAGTTTTATTATTTGTAAATAAGTACATAATTATGGTTTCATTTATTAAGAATGAATGTTAAATGTTATGTTGGAAGGGACTGTGGTTGACACCAAGATTTGCCACCAAATGGAGTTTGATTTCTACCTGTGTAGTCATGCTGGTATTCAGGTGAACCAACTGAACTACTTGAGCTTAATAAATCTTTCAGTTTAAAAGGTGATGATATATCTGATTTGCAGGGAACAAGCAAGCCAACACATTACCATTTGTTGTATGATGAGAATTAGTTCACTCCTGATGGTCTCTAAAATCTAACAAACTGTCTATGCTACACTTATCAAAGGTGTACAAGATCAGTGTCCATAGGTATAAATAATATCTGATTGTTCTTGTTCTTTGAGTGTAATATTATGCTAAAACCATATATGATATATTTAAAATAAAAAAATGCAGTTCCTCCTTCTTACTATGCGCATTTGGCTGCATTTCATTCCCGTTATTACGTGGAGGGGGTGAATTGTCTGACAGTGGTTCTTCACATGGAGCCGGGGGGCGTGCAACAAAAAGGTTCCACTTAATTGTAATGTAGTATTAGGTTATACAGTTAGGGAAAACCTCTTAATAACAATGTACAATCATATCCCCTTAATATCAATGCATTACAATTTTTTGACATAATGTTATTGTATGAAATTGATTGTTTTGGTATATATTTGTTTCTATATTTTTGTATTATGCGTAAATGAGTATCGTAAAGGCACGTCGTATATGCATATGGTAAATGGCTGCTGAAGTTTATGACACGTAAATGCATGTCATCTTCATTTATGACAGGGGCTTTAATGATACGCAATGTGTGTCCTAAACGTGTGTCGTAAGGTTACGACACGCAAATGCGTGTCGTCTTCCTTTATGACAGGGCCTTCCTTGATACGCATTACGTGTCATAAATGAGCGTCGTAAATGCGTGTTGTAACTGCGCGTCGTCTCTAGACGACGCGCAAAAGCGTGTTGTCTCTCGTTATGACAGGGCCTTCCTTGACACACATTTGCGCGTCGTCTGAGCGTTTTACGACACGCATTGCGCGTCGTAAAAGGCTGTTTTTCTAGTAGTGATGCCATGAACTGGGAAGACTTAAAGGTTCTGATGTTGGCAGAATATTGTCCCAGAGGTGAAATACAAGAGTTAGAGCAGGAACTCTAGAGTCTGACGATGAAGGACTCCGATATTGCCGCATATACTGCCAGATTCAGTGACATGGCTCTACTGTGTCCCGGGATGGTCACCCCCGAGAGTAAAATGGTGGAGAGGTATACCTGGGGATTAACTCCCCCGACTCAAGGAAACGATATTGCCGCCAATCCACTTAAATAAAATAGTGCCAATCGTCTGGCTCAGACACTTGTAGATCATGGAGTTCGTCAAGGCTCCATGTCAGCCGTCCCTGAAAAGCCCAAAGGAGGCAGCACAAACAAATTCTGGAATAAATGAAAGGGAAATCATCACAAGAGCCTTCTAAAAAGCAACAAACTGTGGCAGTACAAACTGCTATTGTTCCTGCTGCTATTCCTACTTCTACTCCTAACACTGTTTCTGCTACACCAGCACCCCCGAGTCGATATGCTGGAACTTTGCCAAAGTGAAATAAGTGCAACTTCCATCACACGGGAGTTTGCTGGGAAATGCACTGCAGAAACTGCAACAAGAAGGGGCATACCACCCGTTTCTGTAAAGCGCCAGCACAACCTATCTCTCAAGTCCCCGCCGCCGGAGTAAGTCAAGCTTGTTATGAGTGTGGTGAAATTGGGAACTTCAAGAGAAACTGCCCAAAGACAAAGAATGCTAGAAGTATGGGGAGAATTTTGGCAATTGGCCATGAAGAAGCGATGGCGGATCCTAACGTGGTTACCGATACGTTTCTTCTCAACAATTCTAACACATGCATTCTTTTCGATAGTCGTGCGGAGAAAAGTTTTGTGAGCCATAAATTCAAACATCTACTAAAACAAAATCCACAAACATTAAAAGACACATTCACAGTAGAGATGGAAAACGGAAAGAACGAGAGCACAAATGACATATACATAGGATGTACACTTACTCTAAACAACCATTCATTTCAAATTGACCTTATTCCGGTCTCAATTAAAAGCTTTAACATTATAATCGACATGGATTGGTTAAGTCTTCATCGTGCTGATTCCTATGTTTTGAAAGAGCCATTCGCCTTAATCTACCAAGTAACGAATCTCTCGTTATCTATGGCGACAAATCCGGTGCAAATCTTCAAATCATTTCTTGCGTCAAGGCCAAGAAGTATCTTCGCAATGATTATTGTGCCTTCTTAGCCCACGTGGTAGATAAGACACAAGAAGTAAAAAGCATCAAGGATATCCCTGAAGTCTGTGATTTCCCTGATGTTTTCCCCGAAGATCTCTCAGGAGTTCCTCCTGAACGTCAAGTCGAAATCCGAATTGACTTGATTCCCGTAGCTACCCCCGTAGCTAAATCCCTATATCGTCTTGCACCATCAGAAATGCAGGAACTATCCAGCCAGTTAAACGAACTTCTCAGCAAAGGCTTCATTAGACCAAGCTTCTCACCCTGGGGTGCACCGGTTTTGTTCATGAAAAAGAAGGATGGATCGTTCCGAATGTGCATAGACTACCGCGAACTAAACAAGCTTACCGTCAAGAACAGATACCCTCTACCACGGATAGATGACCTCTTTGATCAACTTCAAGGGGCAAGTTTTTTCTCTAAGATTGACCTGAGATCAGGATACCGTCAACTACGAGTCCAGGAGTCCGATATTCCAAATACCACTTTTAGAACTCGCTACGGTCACTATGAATTTGTAGTGATGCCCTTTGGTCTAACGAGTGCGCCTGCAGTGTTCATGGACTTGATGAACCGTGTCTGTCGACCTTACTTAGACAAGTTCGTTATTGTTTTCATCGATGATATACTAGTCTATTCTTGAAGTAAGGAAGAACACAACCAACATTTACGACAAGTCTTGGAAACTTTAAGGGCAGAAAAATTGTATGCGAAGTTCTCAAAGTGCGAATTTTGGATCCGGAAGGTAGAATTCTTGGGTCATGTAGTCAGCAAGGAAGGGATATATGTTGATCCTTCCAAGATCAAAGCTATTGAAAACTAGGTTACCCCACGAACCCCAACATAAATTCGATTGTTTCTAGGTCTCGCTGGCTACTACAGGAGGTTCATCCAAAACTTCTCAAAGATCGCAAAGCCACTCACCATCTTGACGCAAAAGGATGTAACCTTCAGTTGGGAAGAGAAACATGAAACTGCTTTCCAGACACTCAAGCAAGCCCTCTGCAGCACACCAATCTTGTCCATCCCAGAAGGGACGGAAGATTAGTTTACTGCGATGCGTCCAAGCAAGGGCTAGGTTGCGTTCTTATGCAGAGAGGAAAGGTCATATTCTACACCTCGAGACAGCTTAAAAACCATGAGGTCAACTCTACCACACGCGACCTTGAACTGGGAGCAGTGGTTTTTTCTCTGAAGATCTGGAGGCATTACCTTTATGGTACGAAATGCACAGTCTTCACAGATCACAAAAGCCTCCAGCACATATTCGATCAAGAAGAACTGAACATGAGACAACGACGATGGGTGGAGTTACTCAATGATTACGAATGCGAGATTCCCTATCATCCTGATAAAGCCAATGTAGTAGCAGATGCCCTTAGTCGTAAAGAGTACTCGGGCCACCGAGTAAAGTGTCTAACTATGACAATCCATTCCCACCTGTCCACATAGGCCAAGGAGGCTCAGCTAGAATCCTTGAAACCCGAAAACATGACAGGTGAAGCCCTAAGAGGAATGGAAAAGAACTTGGAAATTAAGGGTGACGGAGTTCGTTATCTCATGAATCGGATCTGGACACCGAAGTTTGGTGGCTATAGAGATGTTGTCATGAATGAAGCCCATAAAACTCGATACTCTGTTCATCCAGGTTCATCCAAGATGTATCTGGACCTCAAGAAACTTTATTGGTGGCCGATCATGAAAGCTGAGATTGCTACCTATGTGGGCAAATGTCTGACTTGCGCCAAAGTCAAGGTAGAATATAAAAAGCCCTCAGGTTTACTACAACAACCAGAAATACCTGAGTGGAAGTGGGAGCGGATTACAATGGATTTCATAACCAAGTTACCCAAGACAACGGGTGGTCATGACACCATATGGGTAATCGTCGATAGATTAACCAAATCCGCACACTTCCTGCCAATAAAAGAAAATGACAAAATGGAGAAGTTAACAAGGACGTACATTAAAGACATAATACGATTGCATGGTGTGCCAATATCTATTATCTCTGACCGAGATTGTAGATTCACCTCGCGGTCTTGGCAATCACTGCAAAAGTCCTTGTGAACCAATCTTGACATGAGTACATCGTACCATCCTTAGACAGTTGGGCAAAGTGAGAGAACCATACAAATGCTGGAAGACATGTTGAGAGCTTGTGTAATAGATTTTGGTAAAGCTTGGGATACCCATTTACCACTCGTCGAATTCTCGTACAACAATAGTTATCACACTAGCATCAAAGTTGCTCCATTTGAAGCCCTCTATGGCCGCAAGTGCAGATCTCCTCTGTGTTGGGCTGAAGTGGGTGATACGCAACTAGCCAAGAACCAGGTACCCAATAGTACACTAACCGGTCCCGAGATCATTCAAGAAACCACAGAAAAGATTGTAAAAATCCGAGAACAACTGAAAGCCTCTAGAGATAGACAAAAGAGCTACGCAGACAAGAGACGAAAACCCTTGGAATTCCAGGTTGGTGACCGCATTCTGTTGAAGGTCTCACCCTGGAAGGGCATGATACGCTTCGGAAAGCGTGGGAATGTAAATCCAAGGTACATTGGGCCATTCGAGATCCTCGCTAGAATCGGCCCGGTAGCTTACAAACACCGTCTGCAACAAGAACTTAACAACGCACACCTTGTCTTCCACGTGTCAAATCTAAAGAAGTGTCTATCCGACGAGACTCTTGTGATTCCACTCGATGAAATTGAGATAAACGATAATCTTAACTTTGTGGAAGGACTAGTTGTAACACTAGTCAAAATAGGTCAATAACAATCACATGTGATTATACCAATCATGTAATGTGATTTTGTTAAACTAGTAATGTGACAAACGTACTATGTAATTCATGATAAATTCTAATATAAGTATGAACTTTTATGATACAACTTAAAGTATACGTCCATACGATTCCAAAAATTTAGAGAACGTCTAAAT